GTTAAGGGGATATTCCGGATATTTCATAAGGAGATATATCACATTTCGTTAAGGGTATATTTCATATGATTCATTATACGTAGCATTTAAAACTTTTATATGAAAATTCAAAAAAAACGTTTAAAGAAAATTGGATACATTTTTTCGGGCTTGTCCGAGATTTTAAAAATGATATTAACCGGTTGCATTTCAGAACACGCCACAGAAATAAGGGAATCCGAAATAAAAAAGCTCAGTGTGCTATTTCAATTCGATATGTTAATAAAAGCGGCTAAGTTAAATATCTTTGCGAGTTTTATTTTATGAAATATTAGATAACATTGTTATACATTTAGAAATAAGGTTTGCAGATAGGTCGCATGTCTCAATTATTTTTATTTAGCTCTTGCGGATCCGAAATTTAAAGAATAATATAAAAAAAATTCCAACACATTTAACATCTGATTCAACAAACTTGTTATATTGATACATTTCCAACGCATTTAATAGTGATTTAACAAACAAAAAATCTTATTGACCAACATAAATTAATGAATAAATTACAGGTATTAATAATAGATATGATAATTTCTATTATAAAATAATTTAAGGAGAATAATCCTGGAAATATATTTCCAGAGGCTTTCAAATTGTTTATTTTGTTTTTTTCAATGCAAATTCATTAAATTCAATTAAAAATTCAAAATACATTTTTCAATGCATTAAAATTTATAGTAGAGATTCCATGAAAAATAAATGTTTATCGCCACTTGCCTGACTTTCAATCTAAAAAGATCTTTTCACAGCTCTTCAACAATCTGATGATTTTACTGATATAATACATATAATAATAACTTTTCTTTATTAAGAGACCGACTCATCAATTTAATATATAAAACATAATTATTCTTTCTCTCAATACTACCAATTTTTAAGTTTGCGTAAATAAATAAAAATAAAATTCTATGATGTACTTCATAGTGACTCCATAGTAATACTTGTACATTATGTCAATCGTTATGTCATTACGTTGAATGCTGTTATTTTTGCTTTAGTTTAATCCTAAATATTATTGAGCTATGTTTTTATCCCTTAGCTAACATATATTTATAAACTGGGTTAGGGTATTATTTTTTATTCTTAATCTAAGGGTATTATGTAAATTTGGAAGGGGGGGGGGGCAAATAGACACAACTAAAATTTTGTCGCCTACCCAGTTACACGGATCACGAGCCGCCACTGGTTTTCATAGTGACGACGATATCCACTTCTCGATATCCTTATAGACCAGGAGTTCCTATCTGGGACTACTAATTCTTGTACTACTGTTTTTTATCACTATGGTACATTTTTTACTCAGTAATTTTATACAGGTATAGACGAAAAGTTATTACTCATCAAACCAGTAAAAAAATGTGTAGATGGCTACAAGTAGGAGTCATATTGGCATCAAAATCAAATTTCTTATGTCAAAAAACTATCAACAATCACATCAATTTTCATCCAAAGATTAACGTTACTTTAGAAGTTATTTGGAAATAATCGAAATAAAAATCAAACTTCTACATCCTGTATTTCCGAAACTAAGCATTTTAGTTAAGACATACATTTATACGAACTTTTTTACTAATTTTTATATGCAGAATATGCTCCCGAAGTTTCCGGAATACAGTTCGGATCACCCTGTATATTAAACTTTAAAATACAACAAAATTTTAAGGTATCCGTTTTTCGTGCCGTTGAGTGTATCACTAGTCAACAAATTGTAAGATACTCTTAATTAATATGTGGTTTATTTGCTGTGATAAAATGTCTGTAGATATTCGAAACCAGAATACTGTGTTTTCTTCTTATTTAATAATGTATTTTACATTTTTGTGTTAAATGTTAAATAAGTACCTTACTTTATTATGTTCTAGTTTTCTGCTTTCTTTCTAGGAACTTTCAAATATTTAAAATGAATATGTATTATGTTTAATGTATAAATATCATATTCTAAGGACAAAACAATTTCTTAATTTGTAATATCAAGTTCTCTACAGAGTAGAGAACAACATATTACATTTAATTCTGTTACTAGGATACAAATAATTGACTATGTTCTATTCTTGTATTAATTGAATAAAATTTCTAGTTAATTCAAATTGTAAAGTATTCCAATATTGTAAATGGTGGTCCAATAATAAAAAATAAAAACTACTTCAAATTATTTTCAAGTTCTAAGGTTAGGGTCCTATAACACAAAATCGAAATTTTTGATATATAATTTCTTAAATATTACTCTTATATAAACCAGTATATTACTAATAGAGGTATGTTAAAAAAATGGCAATCGATGACAATTTTGGCGAGGTCAAGCCTTAGACATGGCCCCTACTCTTCCTTATTTTTTAACAGTGCTTACAGCCAGTTAGCCTTAAAAAAGTTAAAATTGATTTGGTAAAGGTGTGGATCCGGTGGCTGACCTTGAAGCTTATATTTGCTGCATTTGATCATGGATACTACGCAAGCGCACATCGTCGATGTTGCCAAATTGCAGTTTATTTTCGAATTATTTGCAGTTGAAAATTTTTTTTTTGCGTGTTAATCAATAATAATACGAATTCTATAATTAATTTTATAATTTCAGATTTATCATGATATCCAAAATTAAGGTAAGAAGGATAATGAATATTGTGAAATGAAAGTATTATGAATATATAAAATTATGTATATTATATGTATTGATGTTTTGAAGTATTACCATGACGAGTCTTATTATAGAACAATACACGCGCGTCAATCGGAAATAGAGGTAACATTTTACCTATAATGTTACTAATATAATATACTTTGATTATAATTAATGTTTGTATCATAATTTCTTAAAAATATCAAGTTAGTGGATTAATAGCAATTTTAGACATATATTTTATCGAAGAGTGTGTTGATAAGACTAAAATAAGCTTTATGTTTTATCTTTTTTTTTAGAAGGGAGATGGTTTGTATCGTAGAATACATTACAGTATTTAATATCGTGTACTTTGATATTCTTTTCTTAATTTACTGTAATTTCTTGTTTCCTATAATGCCAAATCTTGACAATATGGTGAAGGTTGATTTTTGATCTTATTAGTTTTATAAGAATAATAATAATAATAGAAATACAAGACTAAATTAAGACTTAGTTTGTGATTTATATTAAGATCTTTCTTATAATATTTGTTATGTCTTAATCTTAATACTATATTATGCTTGGTCTGGAAAATAAATGTTAAAATATCTTAATTTTGCATATCCTATTCCATCCTTCCATTAGGAAAAATATGGTTTATAAATCATATATGCTAAGAAAATCACATAAATTAGGTGTAAGAATAGAGAAATCTTAATGTAGCAGAAAAATTAATGCAATATATGTATAAGCAGAATTAAACAAGGTCACTGATGTTAATGTTGCTGAAGGCTGATTCTACAATTTTAATTACGGAGGCTAAAAGGCCTTTTAAGGCCTCCGTAGTTTTGATGGAATGTTAAAACAACCTATTATGAACATGACATGGGGCTACAGCATTTAAAAATTAAAAGAAAAAAGTTGGACACATCATTTTTAATTTCCCGAATTTTTAATAAAGCACTTTTTAAACGTAGCATAATAATCTAGATAGGGATCTAGAGTTTTATTTCTATATAATTTTATTGACTATGAAAATACATAATAAGCGTTCACGTGTTGTACGAAATATTAAAATAATAATATAAATAATATACCGCGTACTATGATTGAAAAAAAAATAGCGTCAGCGATGACTATGAAATGAAAATCGCTGTCATTTTATATGGGAAATGCCCTTAATCGTCATTTCCCAGCCAACTGAACGCCGTTTTTTCAATCATATGGTATATATTGACAAAAAACACTGAAAAGCACATATTTCTTTTCTACTGAAAATAATTCCAAAATTACTCACAATCTGGCAACATCGAAGATGTACGCATGCGTAGTGTCTAAGACTATATGCAGCAAAAACTCGTTTCAAGGTCAGCCACCGGATCCACACCATTACCATCACAATTACCATTGATTTTTATATTGAGTAAAATTGATTTAAAAATGTGTAGCTTAAATTTCGGGAAAAATCATTTCCTGGAAATATAATTGTGTGTCTGGAAACATCTCGGGAAACATTCCTTTTTTTTTCAAAATTTTTACATATTTTATCACGAAATAATGAGTCAAAAATATGATATTTTATGTTTTTCAGCTATTATTTCCTGATAAAATAAAAAAAATTGTGGAAGTTGTCATATACGATGTGAAACTGAATTTACAACCTGGCAACGCTGGCAACGCTGGCAACGCTGCTTGTCGAGAGAAGCTGACAGCTAGGAATGGCAAAATTTAAAAATATATCGACAAAATATTGACGTGATATTGATATGATAAAAATATTTTGAAAAGAAAATATCGATGTATCCGATATATCGAAAGAAATATTATTATATATACAGTGTGCTTATTTTAACTATAAACATAGGCTTAACAATAAGTTATTTTTCGTACCTTCAGTTGAAAACGACGATTTCAAGTGATAAGTTGTCGTTGTCAATAAGAGTAGATAAAACTGTTCATTATATGTGTAATGTGCAACCAACAATGCAATTAATAGTTGAAATTGTATCGCGGCAGTACGTTGCTTGTACTGTTATTTGTTTATTTTTTATATTTGTAGTAGTTTTATTTTAATGAATTTACAATTATAGCTTTAAAACTTTATATTTATTTGTTCAAAAAAAATCTATTTTTTTACAATCAAAATTTTTTAACCGCTTAAAATTTAATACATAATATAGGATAGTATGTAGGTGTATATGTAACTGCAGCGATTAAAATAATAGGTATTATATTAAAAACGACGCCCAGTAGGCTTGGAAATGATGATCGATGACTAAAAAATATTCTAGAAAAAAAAACATTATACTATTTTGTAAATCTATATTTTTCTTTTATTATATTTTGTATGTTTATAAAAGTTATAATTTAGCTATGACTAGAATATATAAACAAGGCTATTATATGATCTACTGCAGGACAGTTTGTTTCGATTTTTTCCACATTCAAATTTTAAAAGCCATTACCGGTCTTAAAAGTCATAACTGCTATTCAATCTTAAAATGACGTAAAATATCTTGCCAAAAAAAATGTAGGTCACAGAAATTAATCTTTAGACTTCAATAAACGGTCCTTTTATTTGTAAGAAAAAGAGGGTACAGTGAGCTAAACTTTGTATCATTGTTCAAGACCATCATTCAAATTTCATTGATTGAATTCAGAGTAGTCATTTGAAGTTTTGATTGTCGTTGAAAAAAAATATTAATACATTCCTGAGCTTGATATCACAGACCCTTAATATATAATAGAACTATTTCGATATATCGACAATTTCTTTCGATGTATTTATTGATATATCGAAACAAAATATTGATATAAATATATCGATATATTTTAGAAATTATATCGATATATCGTCGCCATCCCTACTGACGGCCAGCTGGTCAGCTGTTTTTTAAAGGTTAAGTTTGAAATGTTTATGTTTATCCATTTTAAAATATTCTCAATTATTATAATAAAATGGTTCAGGGAAATGAAAGAAGGTGTTATGTATGTAACCGAAAAAAAACTCCCGAACTAACTTTCCACAAGTAAGTAAAAGATAGTAGATTTTTTTTGTTTATAAAAATGGTTCTGTATGTTATTCAACAAAGATAATTTTTACACTACACCTAACTGTATATTTTGAACAGAATGTAAATGATTGGCATTGTTGTTAAATTTACTACATTAATAAATTTAAATATTATTTTTTTATACTTATCTTTTGATTTATCATTAAAGTAATATACCTACCTTACATATCATACAATTCTTATGTAAAATTACGTACTATCAGTGTATCTGATAGTATAAACAAGTAAAAGAATAGATATTTTCTTCTAAATTTACTTAGTGCTATTCATTGATATCTGTGACCATATGTATATACTAGCAATTAAAAAAATACATGTAAATTGAAACTGCATACTCTATTATGTTATTTGCAAATTTGTGAATATGCAAGTAGTGTATTTTTTTGGTCATATAGATATCAACTATTAAGATTTAACTTGAGGACTTTTATTGTACTCTAAAGAAAATGGAAAAGTACTAAGATTATAGTTTGAATATAAAAATTTAAAAGTAGAATAAAAAAGTAGTATTTCAGAGAATTCAAATTTAAGTGTGAGAATCTTTATAGAGAGTTTTACAGTTTATTCAAAAAACATTTATTCAATAATTGTTTTTTAGGTTTCCAAAAAACCCTTCTGCTCGTGAACCCTGGTTAAAGTTCTGTAAATTAGAGATTGATATTGACTACGAATACATCAAGTATATAGCTATATGCTCATGTCATTTTACACCTGACGATTATTTAGAACCAAGAGCCAAGGAATTGGGGAATAATTTAATCTTGAAGCGTGGTAGATATCCTACAATTAAGGCACCGAAACCCAAAAAGAGATTGGCAAGACAAGATGCATCATCAATACCAGAAAATATGCAAAATAGTGAACCTACTGTAACTAAACACATTTCAACACAACAATCACAGGTGATTTTAGGTAAATAATAAATAATAAGTACCTATATTCCTTTTTCTTTATAGCACAATATAAAACAACAAAATGTTAAGATATTGTACCTATGATGCAGGTTCTTTCACACAAGCCTGATTTTTTTTTTATTTCAAGATATACTGAGATATGTACTTATATTATAATTAATAATAAAATTATTTCTTTCCACTTCCTGTAACCTCCAGTTTAACTGGAAGTAATATACATACAGTAATTCCTCCGATCATCTTTATGAGAGAAACATTTTTTTTATTATCAATGTTTTGGGAAAAATGCATTCTTTATAAAAAAATTTTGTTTGTTCTAAAATGGTTAATCCTATTTATACTTTTCCAAATATCTATACCGTCTATACCGTTTTAGAAAAAAAAAAATAAAACAAATTTTGTGGTCAAAAAATTACGACTTTAATAAAAATTAATAATTAGAGATGAGCAAAACTGCGATTCTCCAATTGCTATTGAAACCGCGATTGCGATTTTTCATTCGTTGCGACTGTAACCTGCGATTGCAATTTTAATACTTAAAATCAAAATCAAGTTTATTGGTGACAATAATAAATATACACACACGTCAATAATAAAATACAAAATTTAGACAATCATTACACATTTGTCACTTAAACATAGATACATTGACAATAAAAGGTAAACCTATATAGAAAATAAAAACTTATAAATTAAACATTGAAATCACTCAGACATACAGTATCAGATAAAAACAATTTAAAATCATAAAAGGCCTTTCCCACTAGGTAATTTTTTATCACTGTTTTGAATACGTTAGCCGGTAGAGTTCTAACCTGAAGTGGTAGCTTGTTATAGAAGGCTGGCGCATAGTGCAGTGTCTCATTAAAAGATCTATTCAGTCTAAGAAAATCTGCTCGCAAATCATTCCGAGCTCTCGTGTCATGACAGTGCACTTCCTTGGCCACAACAGATTTTTCACTGGCATGAGCGTATATAAGAGAGTCAAAGATATACTGCGAAGGTAAGGTTAGTATCTTTAGACTCTGAAAGTAGAGTTTCGCGTCGTCACGATAACCGGCACGGGCAACAATTCTAATAGCTCGTCTTTGGAGCGCAAAAACTCTGGATGCATGAGCCGAGTGCCCCCAAACTAGTAGACCATATGCACATACTGAATGTATGAGTGCATGGTAAGCCATCATACAGACCTCCTCCACCAATTTTGCCAGATTTCGCAAAACAAAAGTTCCTGACGTCAATTTCTTAGCTATGAGGTTTACGTGATCATCAAAGCACAGTTTTGAATCTAAAGTGACCCCCAGGAAATTAGTTTCACCCTGATGATCCCTGCAATCAAGTGGCCTTAAAGAAAAGATTATGTTCTTAGTCTTGTCGCGATTTAGGTTTAGGCGAATATTATTAAATATTGTTAAATATTGTTAAACAATATAATTAAATACTGTACCAAGTTTTATAATTGTACAGGGTGGGTCAAATTGGACGCTTTTAAAGGAAAACACCGTTTTATATAGGAGATACACGAAAACTGATATCGGTGTCTGGAGCTCAATTTTGATCAATAACGTGATGGTGAAAACCGCACATCGATATATATTACCGTTTCGGAGCTACGGGGTGTTTTTCAAAAATGTGCATTTTTAACATATCGCTGTAACTTTTTTGCTACGGAAAATTTTGTATTTCTATGAAAACATTTCCAACGCACCTTTTCACGTAAAATGTAATGGTTTAAATATATATTTTTTAAATTAATAATTTAAGAGTTATCAATAGAAAAATTGTTTTTTTATTTGGGACACTGTATATTTTTAATTAATTGAAAGGCACTTAAAATTACCTTTCCAAAAAATATAGCACACTTAATATTTTGTTATAGTCTCCTTCTAAATACAAAATTTTTAAAAGTTCGCCACTTTTAACTAATAGGCTTTGGATCCCTTATTGATGATCTGCCCCTAATATGGAACTCGAAAACATATTTTTCCAGCAAGACGAGGCACCGCCTCAGAACGCTGAAGTTATTAGCAAATTTTTGCAGTTAATTTCGGGAATAATTGAATAGCTAACCAAGATCCCAGTCGGTGGCCGTCAAGGCGGCCGGAGTTAGTGCTTATGGATCTAATCCTATGGATATTTTTAAATTGCTCATATAATCTAGACAAAAATTAGAAGTACTTAGCGGTTATGTGAGGGTATCTTTCACCCCTACTGAGTTAATGAATTCCGCAAGAAATGTTCAACGGTCCCGTCTGTCCATAACAGAAGACGGTCATGTCGAACACCTGTAGCAAAATTTCATGTGTTGGTTTGCTATTTATTTTTATTGTTATTAGATAATAGTTTAAATGTATTGATGTTGTTAAATATAGTATAAATTGTTATAAAATTCTGCATCTCTCATTGCAAATATTATTTTCGTTTTAATTGCTGCTTACAGGTAGAATTTTTTTGCATTACAGCCGGCGCCGTGCAAAGCTACTTATTCAAAGTGGGCGAATTTTTATACACTCTATATCTCGAAGAGGAATCGAGCAAAACATCAAGTGTGTTATATTTTTAGAAAGGTAATTTTAAATTATTTTCAATGAATTAAAAATATACAGGGTGTCCCATATAAAAAATCAATTTTTCTGTTGATAACTCTTAAATTATTAATTTACAAAAAATATACTTAAACCATTAAATTCTACGTAAAAAGGTGCTTTGGAATTGTTTTCATAAAAATACACAATTTTCTACAGAAAAAAAGTTACAGCGATTTGTTAAAAATGCACATTTTTGAAAAACACCCCGTAACTACGAAACGGTAATAGATATCGATGTGCGGTTTTCACCATCATGTTTTTGATAAAAATTGAGCTCCAGACACTGATATTAGTTTTCGTCTATCTCCTATAGAAAAGGGTGTTTACCTTTCAAAGCGTCTAATTTGACCCACCCTGTACCATAATGTAATGTAATGTCATATGTACCTATAGCTTAGGGCTCGAAGACACTGACGACCAGGTTGCACTGGCCAGGCCGCAGCTACCTCTAAAACCATTGAATCAAATGATATAGCGCACACTAACGTCGTGGCCGTCCGTTGGTCGTTGCGACCAGAAGACTGCACGGAAATATTATTTTCTGCCGCTTGTTGCCGGTTTTCTTCCAAATTAATAATTTTTCAGATGAAATCCCTCAAATTCAAGGCACAATATTTTATTTTCTATAAGATATAGTGTTTTAGTGTAGTTTTTGCACACGTGCAGAAAATCCAAAGAAATAGTATACAGACTGGATCAAAGGTAAACTTAAATCTAAATCCTTTTTTTATCAAGGGTCGATTCTAGTAAAAACTCAAAACATTTTTATATGACATACCTACTCTATTTATGGTTGGTATGATACCTGTTATTATACCTTTGAGTTTCGATGTTTAAAAAATAAAAAATAATAATATTTAAAGTTTTTCTACAACCACTTTTTTTTATTAAATTAGTTTTTTTAGTTATATTGTAGTCATGTACAAGGAGGACAATTGTATTTTAAATATGATAGTTAATTTGACGTTTTTCAAACAGGGTTCATTAGACTATATTTCTACTAGGTACATTATTTTGAAAAAAAAATTAAGGAAGTAACATAAAGTTTATAAAAATAGAAGTAATTACTGTTGTAGATTCTTCGTTATATTGTAAACATTGAAATAACTGGAAGCTAAACTTTCTACCTGCTTATATTTAGAGCCAGTGTCTGACGATCTTTTTTTACGATGGCTCTAATATGATTACTTCTAAAGTCGATAAGGGCGCCATATCAGTAGAAAAAAGAAACAGAATATCTCCCTTTTTTTCGGTCGCGCGTACACAATGCTTTTTGTTTATTGTGAATAGGAACTTCGCTTTTTAGTTAACTCGGATATTTTAACATTTCTGAAACAATATTTTCTAATTGGTAAAACGTAAAAAATCGTTAGATTTGACAACTCTGTTGAAACTGGTCGTTCATCTGGCCGCAGCTAAAAACGCAATACATCCGGCCAGCCGACGGCCAGGTCGTTGCGACCTGGTCGTCAGTGAGTTCGAGCCCTTAACTGTTAAAAAAAGTTAATATTAGTGATGGGATCACTCGAGTGAAAAATAGTCCGTCACCCGAGTATTCATATCCTTGGTATGTCTCGAGGATTTTTGTCGATCCTCGAGGATTACTCGGCACGCAACTAACATCGGGTGTGGCGTACCGTCCTCGCTACTCGCGAAGGTGCAAGGCGATTTATGATTTATGTTGAAACCTTTTAGAGGATAGAGGATAACAGTTTAATCACTTGCCCGCATATCGCTCGCAATAATAATCGGTTTTCAGAGTACCTGGCATTTTTGAACATAAATGCATTTCTTATTTCTTATTGTTATTTAGTTTAGATTTCTTCTCCATACTTTTTGTTTAAAGACTTGTTTTTTAACTATTAATATAATAATATAATTTTTTTTTCTGTGTAAAGCTTCATTCAGAACCTCGCAATTAGTGGAATAAATTAGTGGTTTCAATTAGCGTAGATGTTTGTCCACCTATTTTTAATGTAAGCATTCAAAACGTCATAATTCGTGAATTTTTGACTTTTGACAAACTTTTGACTTTTCCATTAATTATACTTCAAAATTTGCGAGGAATGTCATTTTGGCTTTTAATTATCGTCCGTCAAGAGAAATTGTGGTTAGAAACCAAAAGTTGATAGTTTTATAAGCTAAATATTAGGCTTTCTCTATGGATACAACTGACTACCACCAGATATTGCTAGGATATTCTATTAATTTTAATTGTGTTTTTTAGACATTGTGAATGATCGTAAACTAAAAAGTATAACGTGTAATTGAAACCACAAATTTATTCCACTAATTGGGAGGTTCTGAATGCAGCTTAAAGTAAAAAATACCGAGGGTGTCATTTAAATATCAAAAGTTGTAGTAATTTGCGGTGAAACGGGAAGTGATAGAAAAGAATTGAATACGTCATTCAATCCTAATTTATGTCATATACTAACATACCAAATCTCGGTTTTTTATAAAAAAATAAAAAAGTTATAGGGGTGAACCACCAAACCAAACCAAACACCTGGTATATTATTGATCTTGGCCCTAGAAAACAATACCTTCTTTATAAATAAATAATAATAACCGAGAGAAAATTCAAAGGCAGTTTACTATAAAATGGCTCAATAGACCACAAAATTACATTCGCAACAAAATCGCAAAGCGCGACTCCTAAAAATTTAAACTCGCAGATAGAAGGTTAAATCACCGTCCCAGTTTACAAAATCACAATCGCAACAAAATCGCAAATCGCAGCAAAATCGCAACTATAGTAATATTGGTTGCCTAAATTAAAACTCGCAAATAAAAGAAATCGCAGTCGCAGTTTCCTATGAAAGAAAATCGCAGGTTGCCGTTGCGATTTTAAAATCGCTGCTATTGAATCGCAGTTTGTGATTTTATATAGTTTCTGCTCATCTCTATTGGTAATAATTATCTATCAAAGTATAAAAATGAAATGATATTACCAAAGAAATGCGTTTGGATTTTTCGGAGTTTTATCAGTTTGGTAAAAAATACAATAATTATACTTTAACAATGTTTTTAATTTTTTCTAAAACGATATGGAAATTTGGAAAAGTATAAACAGGATTAACTATTTTAGAATAACCAAAAAAAAATTATGCAGGATTCATTTTTCTCAAAAATGGGTTTCCTCTTGTAAAGACGATCTGATCTATGAAAACACTGTAATAATTTATCTAAAGCATTACTACCATACAATCAAACAGTTTTATGACCATGCATGTTTTAACTGCCAAAATCAATATTGCAGATTAGATCAATGTAATTTTGAATATAATTTAGTGTCCAGTACAAATGAAGTTGTTAATATAGGAACTCTAACATTTGATGCTTTTTCAGTGCAGCAAAGCAATGTATCTACTTCTTCACAACTGCCGCAATTACAACCTAAACCAAAATTACGTAAGTTAAACTTTTATGTCTTTATATTTTAGTATACTTTAACATAACTTTACATATAGACAATTTTAAGAAATAAACAGCATAATTAATCACGCTCAGCCAAAAATATTCACCACAAAAGCAAGTCAAAATCTCTTTAATTTAAAAAAAAAATCCAATTTTAATTACTGAGAACATATGTGACATTTTTTCGCATTTCTTTGAAAATAAAGACTTAAGGAAGTAGTCTTTTACTATTTTTATATTACATCCATTACAGATGGAATCAACAACATAACATTATGATAAATAGCAATTAAATCATCCATATAAATAATCAATTGCGTGAATGAGAGTTTTGTTGACATGCTCCTTAGTCTTTTTAATCAAAGCAATAAGTAAAATAAATAATGAAAAAAAAAACGATGTAGATGAGTGAGGTATAATATATTTTTTAGATCGGAAAATGCATCATATACTACCAAAATCTGATCATTCTCCACAGCTTTTAATATATAACACTGTCCCAGTGTTACAAGTAGGTACAATTCCAACTCCACAAATGCCACAAAAATCTCCCATTTCAACTCCAACAGTGCCAAATGAATGTAAGATCAAAATTGGTAAGTAATAATGTCCTTAAAGTTTTTAAAAATTAAGTTAGAATATAAACTCACTGGCAAGAAAAACCAGGCACTAAAAACTAGTCCTAATTTCAAAGTTGGATTTCCCGCGAACCACTCATTAGATTTTGATGATTTTTTTCTAAATTGTAAATTAATTCCTTCTTAACGGATGCCCCGTCAGAAATTTTTATTCCGAATTTATTTTGAGCATATACAGGGCACAACAATAAGACGAAGTTTTTTGCCCGTAGTTTGTAACACCCTGTAGGCTGTAGCAATTTTTGTGAGCATTTTGTTTTTTTAATCACGACATTATCTCTGTTTGTATTGGAGATACGCTGCTTTAAAAAGAACGTCTCGGACATAGGCGAAAACGGATTTATGAGTATTTGCAATATAACAACAATGGTTGTCAAATTAAAAAATGCCATTGTAATGTCTGTAATATCGTTTTGAGGTAGAATAAAAGACACCATTCAATATTAATGAAGTTTTAATATCAAGTCATTCGTATTACAGCCCAGATATTACTACCTGAACATTTGCAGTACTCGTGAACTCCTGCGCAAAACTTAACAATGCTATGTTGTCGATATTTACATTATTTACAATAATATACTACACTTTTCCCCCTTACAATATAAAACTTAAAATTAACAATTGTTTAAATTTACCAAAAAAAAACATTATAACCAGACAGAAAATTTTTTTTCTAAATTAATAGTACCATTCATTCACAATCATTTATACACAATATTTTTATTTACATTTCTCTTACTTCTTCTCACTTCACAATCGCCCTCTGGAAAATTTTTATCAGGTGAGTTCATTTGAGTTAAATCAATTATTTCTATATCCTCAGCCTGATGAAAATTTGCATTTTCTATTGAAAAATTATAATCTATAATTTGATTTATATGTCTATGCCACGTTTTTTTCAAAGATGGTATATTTACAAAATAAGTTCTTAAACCAAGTTTTTTCTTAATAATACCCTTAATCCAACTAGGCTTATTACTAACCCTATAATCTCTAACTGCTTCAGTTTCACCCAAATTATATTCCCTTTCTCTCCTCCCACAATAATTTTTAACTTGTCTTTTTTGTTCCCTAATAATCCTTTCTTGTATATTACAATCATTATGGTTAACTTCCGGAAAGCCAATGACCCCCTTCTATATGAGCGTCTTTGCAATATAAATTGGGAAATCTTGAAGAATGCTGAATGTAACCCCGTGGATGATTTAGTCGCCGAACTATACAGGACTATCAGTACAATAATAGATGAGTATATACCAATCTACAATACCCATAAAAGCAAGCGCACGTATCCTACCTGGTTTACTACCGACATTATAAAAACATTACAAGAAAAATATTGTAATTTTCGGAAATGGAAGAAAACTGGTTGTCTGACGGCATGTGCAACTTATAAACATCTTCGAACTATCACCAAAAGAGAAATTGATCGAGCATATTCCGACTATTTAGCTGAAATTCAAAATTCCCTGTGCACAAACCCTAAAATGCTCTGGCACTATATCAATAAAAGAAACGTTTCTAGTCGCATCCCAGGTATTATGACATTTGAGAATAATGAACTAAATAACACTACAGATATTGTAAACGGGTTTGCAACATTCTTTAACAGTGTTTATACAAATTCGGGAAGTTCTTGCGAGCCAACCACTGACACTAACTCTTTCTTTACAACACTACCTCAACTGGATGAAACAGATGTGTTAAAAGCGATGAAGAAACTGAAGGACAAACTCACTGCTGGACCTGACGGAATACCTTCGTTCTTAATAAGGGATTGTGCATCGGTGCTTGCTGAGCCGTTGACCTTTATTTTTAATGTTGCCATTAAGACTGGATTTCCAGAGTGCTGGAAAACTTCTAAAATATGTCCGATCTTTAAGTCAGGAAACAGTAACAATATTGAGGATTATCGCCCTATTGCTATAATATCGAACTTTGCAAAAATTTTTGAAATGTGCATTTTTGAAAAATTGTTCTTTCAAGTCAAACGCTTAATTGTGGATGAACAACATGGATTCTTTCCAAATAGATCTACAGTAACAAATTTTTTTTTGTTTGCTTTTTGTAATATACATATAAAGCTATCGAAGCAGGCTCTCAAGTTGATGCAATCTATATGGATTTTTCAAAAGCTTTCGATAGGATGGACCACCAAACACTCTTAACAAAACTTTCTCAGTTTGGATTTAGCAGCAGTTTGAAATGTCTGCTACAATCATACCTATCTGGGCGTACACAGTACGTAGAGTATCATGGTCTTCAATCCTATCGTTTCTCACCATCTAGTGGAGCCCCACAGGGTAGCAATTTGGCACCGTTATTGTTTTCGTTATATATAAATGATATAAAGGAAATATCTTGTCCAGCTCTATTGTTTGCAGATGACTTAAAGATATTTCATACTGTCAATAGTGTTGAGGATTGTCTTTTAATCCAACAATCTTTGGATAAAATATCTTCTTGGAGCAAACGAAATAATTTACCTTTAAACATCAAAAAATGTAATAAGCTCACTGTCACCCTAAAAAGCAATGTAACAGGTCACATATACCATATAGACAATACCCCTCTTGAATCTTTTGAAATTGTAGGGGATCTTGGTGTGTACATTGATAATCGTTTAAATTTCCAGTCTCGTATTAATGAAGTATGTAAATCAGCAACCAAAACTTTAGGATTTATCTGTCGTACTACTAAAAACTTTCAAAATATATCTTGCCTCACTACTCTGTATAACTCCCTGGTACGATCGCGTTTATATTACGCATCAGTAGTTTGGTCACCGATATACCAAATACATATTCAACGTCTGGAACAGGTTCAACGTAGATTTCTCAAGTTGCTATCCTTTAGAGCTGATGGCGTCTATCCACAGCGGGGTATAGATCAGCAGTTGCTGCTTGACAGGTGGAGCTTTTCTTCGCTCAGAGAGCTGCGACTTCGCTCATCATTAATATTTCTGTTTAAAATTTCCAACAATATGATGATGGACTGTGCATTTCTCTTGAACGAATTAAGCTGGCACGTTCCACTGGTCACAACTAGATATCAGTACACTTTCTGCCTCCAAACACTTCGTACCTGCAATGCCACCAAAGCCCCGCTCTATAGATGCTGTCACAACCTTAATAATATTGCTCTCCACGACACACTGGATCTGTTTCAGCACTCACTAGCATCCTTCAAGAGGGTACTGGATGAGATACTAAAGGACATTCACAGAAGAACGGTACTCATAGTAACGTGACGAAGAATTTAAGTATATTTCATATCATTATTTTTTTTATATATTATGTTATTATTATTTATATCTTAATATTTCCATTATTAATTGTCTTTTGTTTGGGTGTATACCTGTTGGACAATAAATGTATAATTTATTTATTTATTATTTACAACATTCTCATTCTTATTTTTATATACAAAATCTAACACTGATCTAGGATTCCTATTTAACAGTAATTTAGCAGGTGACACCCCTGTAGTACAATGGGGAGTTATTCGATAAGATAGCAAAAAAATATTTAAAATCATGTTTAAATCTTTTAAATTTCCTGTATTTATTACTTTTAAAATTGCATTTTTAACTGTCCTAACTGAATTTTCAGCCTGTCCATTGGACTCAGGGTGAAATGGAGGTATTTCTTTAAAGTTTGTACAATTTTTGTTTAAAAATGTTTGAAATTCCTCAGATTTAAAATATTTTGCGTTATCAGAAACTAAATTATTAGACAATCCAAAACGAGCAAAAATATCTCTTAATATATTTATAGTATTGGACGATGACGTATTTGTTGTTATAATGGCTTCGACCCACTTACTATAAGAATCTACCAATACTAAAATATAAAATTTTTGAAAAATAGGTCCAGCATAATCTATATGAATTCTGTGCCAAGGGTTAGAAGGAAATTCCCAATTTTTTAAAGGAAACTTAGGAGGTAAATTCTGAGTTCTTATACAATATTTACAACTTTTAATCAAGTGTATTTCTTTAAAGTTTGTACAATTTTTGTTTAAAAATGTTTGAAATTCCTCAGATTTAAAATATTTTGCGTTATCAGAAACTAAATTATTAGATAATCCAAAACGAGCAAAAATATCTCTTAATATATTTATAGTATTGGACGATGACGTATTTGTTGTTATAATGGCTTCGACCCACTTACTATAAGAATCTACCAATACTAAAATATAAAATTTTTGAAAAATAGGTCCAGCATAATCTATATGAATTCTGTGCCAAGGGTTAGAAGGAAATTCCCAATTTTTTTAAAGGAAACTTAGGAGGTAAATTCTGAGTTCTTATACAATATTTACAACTTTTAATCAAGTGTATTTCTTTAAAGTTTGTACAATTTTGTTTAAAAATGTTTGAAATTCCTCAGATTTAAAATATTTTGCGTTATCAGAAACTAAATTATTAGACAATCCAAAACGAGCAAAAATATCTCTTAATATATTTATAGTATTGGACGATGACGTATTTGTTGTTATAATGGCTTCGACCCACTTACTATAAGAATCTACCAATACTAAAATATAAAATTTTTGAAAAATAGGTCCAGCATAATCTATATGAATTCTGTGCCAAGGGTTAGAAGGAAATTCCCAATTTTTAAAGGAAACTTAGGAGGTAAATTCTGAGTTCTTATACAATATTTACAACTTTTAATCAAGTGTATTTCTTTAAAGTTTGTACAATTTTTGTTTAAAAATGTTTGAAATTCCTCAGATTTAAAATATTTTACGTTATCAGAAACTAAATTATTAGACAATCCAAAACGAGCAAAAATATCTCTTAATATATTTATAGTATTGGACGATGACGTATTTGTTGTTATAATGGCTTCGACCCACTTACTATAAGAATCTACCAATACCAAAATATAAAATTTTTGAAAAATAGGTCCAGCATAATCTATATGAATTCTGTGCCAAGGGTTAGAAGGAAA